TGAAATCTCTAAAATTAATGCTGAGAAATTTCAATATACCTGTTGATTCCCATCACTTCCTGCTCGTGACTGAATTCTTTGTACATTCAAATTATATTAGCCTTTCCCAGACAGTCTATACCCCCATTCACAAAAGGGTGCATGTTCTAGATTTAGTTACACTAGAGGTTCACCAGTGTCAAACTTTCTGACTTATGATTGTGTCTCTCACCAGATTGCCTTTCAGTTCAAAATAGAATACCCTCATTCTATATCAGCTCCCAAACAATAAATTAAGTTTCATAATTTGAGGATAGTTGACTTTGCTACAATAGGTTCACTCATACAATAGTACCTGTTTTGTGGGTTTTTTTCAGCTATAATCTGGCTCCTGTGATCTTTGTTCCACTAGCTGTACAGTTCAACTACAGTATGCTCTGTGAAGGCAGCTTTATATAGGTTTGAACAACATTCAGTGACCTTGCTCTATCTGTTCCAAGCTTGGAAACAGCAGTTGTAAGAATATTTCGTTGCTTCTGCCAGATCCACTTACTTCTCCATTCTTATGAAGATCAGCCTTGACAACCCAAGTTATTTGTTCGCCATTATTAGCCTGTTGCTGGAGGCAGAGGTATGTGGAGTTCTCTGCAGCGTAAAGTAGTGCTTATGAGATACAACCCTTGATTAGATGCTACTGTACACTCAACCAAAGCACTTTATTCAGATTTAAACTATACATGCTATGCAGAATAAATAAACAGTACAGTAGTCACTTATCCAATGAGGGGCCCATGTTCTTCCAAAGTAGCATGTTAGGCAAATCTGTGTTGGAAAAACTTAAGACCTTGGCCAATACAGTAAATAGGGAAATGCGGACGTGCATCTATTAATACCTACTGTATATACTGTACATATAGTTCTACAAACAAAATAGCTAGATAATACTTTATTAATCCCGTAAGAAAATTGATGAATGGACCTGCATAAATTGAGCTCTGTGTGAAATTAAAATAAATTAATATATGTATTAACTGAATAAGCATAAACATTTACAACATTTGGTATATAAAAATCATTAAATGCTTACCCTTGCATGGTAAAGATGAAGGGTATTGATGATGATACACTTGGAAGCTCAGGATGTAATTGTATCAGGCCATTTCACTCATTTCTGTTAATGGAATAACCTTCCAAGGTTTTTTTGGTCACTAGCACTTTCAATAGCCTTGCGTTTTAATTCCATGGTGCTTTAAAGGTCTTAAACAAAACAAAAAGCCAGTCATGACTTTACTGAACTGCTTACAGTAACAGCTTACATAAGACAGAGAAAATGGTGTGTTGTGGTGCAGGTGTAATGGAGAGATTATTCAAATATTTAAATAGCAAGCATTACCATGGATTTTGTCAGCCCACTGATAGCCATACAGTACATGGTCAAATATTTCTCATATTTATTCCTACTCATTTGTTTTTGTGTAGAATCATAACCATGTTGGATAAGGGTTTCCTATATTCAAATTCGCTTTGAAAATTAGAATGTGTCCTCTATTGATTCTCTACTAAAATAATTTGTTACAGACCTGATATGTATTACACAGATTTGAAATAAACAGTGTAACAATGTAGTTGGAACATTCTGTGAATGTGTTGTGAGGAAGACAAACATTTGAGAGAAAGCAGTGTTTTAGTTTTAGAAGAACTGGGCAATTTTTAAGGCTTTTTAAAATCCTGCATGATTTCTGGTATACCAATTAACTTTAAAATAAATTAATATGTTTAATTTTTAAGCATATAAGTGAAACAACTCACATTTTAATTAGTCTAGCTGACATTACATGTTTCCTAACTCAAGTACTCACTGACTTGATTTGATTTTTAAGCATAAATAGGACCGTATTTAGTATTTACTGTAGTTTTTTTTTCTCTTTTTGTGTGCCTATGTATTCTTTAAGGCTCTCAAAGTCAAATGGGAGTCTTAAGTGTACTTTCGGGTATCTCATGGAAGATGCTTAATAAGGCCAAAGTTCAAACACTGCTCTTCTGGCTTCTTCGCTTTTAACATTACTACGTTGCCATCCAGAGCCAAAAATCATTGACTTCATCCTTGAGTCATTTAAAGCAAAACTCTGTGCAAAAACAAAATTGCTACCATCAGTAAGAAGCAGCTGTAAGTTGTTAAACCCTTCCAGTTTTATGAACGTTTTCATCAGAGAAATAGTTTTGTGCTTTAGTGGGAAGTTATATACGGTATATTTCAGAACTGTGCCTATGGTTTTCCGATCTTTTTGTTATTAAGTAGAATTATGTTGCATAGGGAGAAAACTATTTATTAATAGGAAAATTATGGATAAGAAGTCCAGAGATCAGAGATTTCCAGAGTTTTGCTCTTTAAAACCTAAAAGTAGTTTTGATTTTTCATAATGATAACTAATTTCAGAACATCATATAATGACATTATTTTCACATGATGCGTTGTTATACTTCAAATACTGTTCAAAAGCAGACATTACAGCATTAGAAGTGTGTGAATATGTATAAATATCTATAGAACTGCTCCAGTTTTCTCTGGTTGAAAGAGCATGTGTGCCTGTCATACAAGAGATAAGGGATTATTAATGCACAACCTGTTTATATTGGATGAAGCCTCTATATTTCTACACAGTGGCTCCTGGTGAGGAGGAGCAGGTCATTAAATTGTATTTGTGAAAATTTCCCTTACATCAGTTATAACAGGATATAACCCAATGGCAACTTGTTAACTCTTCAGATTAAATTTCCTTCTCTCAATGTGGAATTAGAATGTATATTTACATTAGCAACCTTCAGAAATGTTCTAATGTTCTAATAATCTGAAATATACAGTATAGACTATCCTTGCATAAAAAGTACTAATACTTTTGCTGATTGTACGTGTTTATTACATAGTGTTCTATCCTGGAGATAACTAAGAATTTTAATTTTAATTTATAGGCATGTAATGTACATTTAGCAGTTCAGTCTGTCATGAAGAGAATAGTGGCAACAGATACATAATGGTATTACATTTTGTTTATTTTAATTGCACAACTTAATCAATAAGACGTTAATGAACTGGAACCCTTAATCAGTTACTGCTCTTAAAATGCACCAGTGTTCCCATTTATCACGTACTGATACTGAGAATACTGTATGTACTTAAAAGTGAAGGAAAAAGGCAGATTCTGAATATGGACAGTTTCCTGCCTGTGTTACAGCAATTAATGCCTGACTATTTAAATATTTTTTAATGAGACAATATACAGAAATCAGTTTAACTTTGTTGTAATCATCGTGAACAAGCCTCATACTGAATATACATTTTTATTTCAATCTTGAAAAATGAAAACTTTTATTGGCTTATTAACCCTGCTTAAGCCTTGTTAAGAGTTTCACAAACTTTTTTTTTTATTTTTTATTTTTATTTATAATTTAATAAAATGTTTTTTTATATATGATAAGTGAAATAAATGTGATTGTAATAAATAATTTAAAACAGGTGAAATTCTTAAACAAGTTCACCGCATCTTTAATCAAAAGTGCTTTTTTTTCCTATTCGACTTGTTTATATAATTTACCTTAATGGTCTGTAGTACTTTTTTTCTTTTTTAATGACTTCATGAGTTATATGCTTAGTTCTTAACACATGCAGATTAATTATCAGAAAGCATGGTCAATTCTAATTGAAGTAGCATACACTGATTATAATAATGTGGTTATATGTTTATGCATTAGAACAAAATATAATGTAATTGAATTCAGATTTTGATCAAGAATATAAAAAAGTCAATCCATTATGACAGTTTACACAAGGATTCATATAATGAAATTCTGAATTGTTCCATGAAAAACTTGGAGAAACCATCTATTGAACTGGTGTGATAATAACGTAATGTGCTCTTCATTTCCTGGGAGAGCTGCTGAAGTAAGTTTTCGATACATTGTATGGTTTCATACTCTTGTCGTGTCTCATGCAGCTCTTAATTTAAAAAAAAGTGTATGTGCTGGTGGTAGTGGGGGTAATGAGAGAGTTCCCAGTCCCTAAATGTTTTGTTTATAAAATTTAAATGGATTTCATATATGTGCTGTCATCCCTTCAGTCCATGATTATCTGACCATTTTGTTCATTTAATTATTTACAGCAGCAAGAAGTTTTTTTTTAGTCAATTTAAAATTCAGCAGGCCATTTTGAGCTTTGTGGTTTGCTAAATAAAGACATTGACTGATGATATGATGGTTGTCCATCATGTCCGATGATGATGGTGGTACTTTGTGCAGATCATCTGTTTGGAAGATGAGCTGCATGAAGAAACCTGTGAGGGAGAGCTTTTTGAAGTGGGAAAGAGGTTGCACTGGGGCAGTCCCACTCCCTCGACCTCGGAAGCCTGGGTCCCATGGTATGAGTAGTCGTCACAACTGGAGACTTCCTTGGTCGCAGTGGATGGCCATGACGCCTTTCTGTGCCTTGTCATGCCCTTTGCTTTCCACAGAGTGTTGCAACAGTATAGTGTCCCCGTCACTATACTGGGACATTAAGACCCACATAGACCACAGGGTGAGCACCCCTTCCTGGCCCCACTAACACCTCTTCCAGCAGCAACTTTAATTTTTCCCAGGAGATCTCTCATCCAGGTACTTTCCAGGCTCACAGTGCTCAGCTGCAGTGGGTTGCCAGATGTGAGCTATAGGGTTGATATGGCTGCTGGCAAAGACGTTGACTATGTATTAGTTCACATGTAGCATGTTCAGGTCAACAGTCAAAACTTTTCAAATGTGAAAATAATCAGACAGTGTAAGGATGTACAGTACATAAGCCAGAGTATTTCATTAATGATATTGACACACGATCGTGGTCTTCCCCTATACTGTGTGCTTTTTGTAAAGCAACTTCCTTTCCCAATCAAGTTAAAAAGACGAAAGGCAGAGTTGTATTGTGTTGTTATCTGGTTGTATCCTTATATGGAAACACATTTTTTTCATGTAATGTTGTTTTCTTCCTTTTACAGACAAGCTAGTCTCAATGAAGCAGCTGAGAAGTATTATCGACTAGCGGCAGGCCTGAGACCCAATGTAAGTACCAGGCTAATAACCCCTATTACTCAAGCTGATTCCCAGCAATTGCAGACTGGGTGGCACATTCATTACCCATTTGTACAATTTAGCCTTGAATTTTTGTCAATGACATGCATTGTCACCTCAATTGACAAGTTTAAGTAATGGCAGTCTTCAAAGGAACCCAGTTTTGTTTTCAGATCATCAATCACAGGCCTAAAAGAAGGGCATAAAATCAGTTTTAGTGAGAACAATGTTTAAACAACTTATAATAATGACTTATACTCTTGGAACTTTGTTTTGATGTTTAGTGATACTTATGCTTGATTCTGGAACTTTATTACTGGAGCTAAGGAAATTTGGACTATATCTTGCTAATATCTTGAGCAAGATAGAGATCTGGAGATCTATGCATGCGCATTTCAGGAATACAATCATTTTTCACTTTGCAATCAATATAAGCTTAATGAATCTGATAAGCTCATTTCAGCCTGTCTGTTTTCAGAAGCTGCTGCTTATTAGCCTGTAATGAGAATGTCTCTTGATCATGAAAAAGAGTTTTATTAATGATGCATTATTTAGTATTTTAGTAAGATTTGTAGTTGGGAGCGGTCTTTCGGAAAATGTGTGTGTGGGCGGGAGGGAATGTCAAGAGCACAAAATCCCCACCAAATCATACATTTTAAAATATGTTTAAAAATTCATCCAAATTCTATGGACATTTAGAATGCAAAATATGATATAGTAGATCATATACATCAAATTATGATAAAGAAAGTTACCATTGTGTGTATTCTATGGCATATTTACCATGATTTAAGTTTATAAATGCAAATGTTGCTATATAAAGTTATAATTAGGACGGTAGTATTTTTCAAACTGAAATAACAAGTACTGTTATCATAAATACATCCATTAATTTAAAAGTTAATTAATTCTACAGTTTGCTCTTGCTTGAGGAATGATTGCATTACTGTATATTACTGTATATACTGTATATAACTGAATGCAGTTTTTCAAATATACCCAGCACTGCTTGACTGTGCATTGTGGGAAGGAGAGAGGTGCAGAATGGTGTTGTAGATTTTGGACAAATGCCCAGATTCCTGAGATGGAAAAGAAAAGCAAAATCATAGTGCACTTGATACAGTGTTTACACTTGTGACAAAGCATCTAATTAATCATCCAAATATTATCTGGAATTTTTTTAATAAAATGAGAAGCTGATTTCTCTCCAATAATTGGTGCTGTTATTCGTGAGAAATTCCATCATTTATGACTGGGATTCCACACGCTGAAAGTGTTACCCATTACCTAGGGGAGAGGTCCAAAGGAATACTATCCAAGACAAAACGTTTATATACTAAGAGGCACTAAGAATGCAAAAAAGGCTGTTGATTTTTTTAGCCTCTTAGAATATTTTCTTGATTTCCTAGAACGAGTGTGTCAGATAAAACAACATGAAACTATGATATGAAAGGCACATTTTTTTAAGACATGCAGTTCCGCAAAGATTCTATTAAGTGAAAACAAGTGGAAAATACTGATGTTATTTAACATAAGTGTAATTTTGACTAGGACATTTAAAATGATTGATGAAGAAGTAATTGAGGCAGCTACCAATCACTTGAAATTGGTATTTTTTTAATTTACATTTACATTAAATGACATCAGCATCATTTTAATATGGTAAACAATTAATCTGTGTTATTTACTATAGTTTGTTCTTAGCCTTTTAAAACAGTTCAGCAAATTTAAACCTGCTATATTTTAGATAGCTATTTAGAGTAAAATCTCTTCCTATAATGTATTGTGCTCTTTAAGCATGTTCAGTTTTCAGTACTTGATGAGCTTAGTGCAATGAATCACTTTATAACCTTAAAATCAATATTGGATTTTACTACAAGTAACTATAGCTAATTAGACAAGTGAGAATAAACAGATGTGAAATTACCTTCTCTAACGTGAGTTCACTGTTTTCACCCAGTAGAGAATTGTTGAAGTACTATTGTGTGTCTGCATTTTTTCTTTTTGTTGTGCTTCACCACTTCAGTAATTAACAAGAAAGGCTTCATTGTTTGAGATTTTCCAGTTGCTCATTATTCACATACATCAAAAGAAAGCACTTTAACTTGAATGACCTATTTTATGTCACTTGCCATAAGCTCAAAAAAAGTTTTAAATTGAACAGTGGTTTCCATTTTTTTTTCATGGACTAAGAGCATCTGCTCTTCATTTCTTCATTTAGGTAAAGCCTAATACACTAATGCACAGTTAGGTGTTGTATTGTTATTGTTCAAAGGGATTTTATCTGCCACACGTTTATTTTTTTAACTTCTTTTATTCATTTTGTCCCTTTATAAATTTTATATAGTGACCTACAATATAGAAAGGGCTACCTTACCCAGTCTATTTAATGTGTTCTCTTGTTCTATAAATATTCACTGTAGTTGACTTCCACTTCCTTTGGAAGTAGAGCATTTTTGTTGAACACGTCAGTTCACTTCAACTGGAAACTGGCGTTCTCTTTAGATCTAAGGCTGAAATGCTTCCCTCCCACTTTTCCTGTAAATAATCAGAACAAGGTCAGATTAAATACTTTTTTTCCTTTCTTAGGTTTCCATTTATGAATGGCATATGTATTATTTATAATTGCTGAAAAGTTAGGCTTTTTCCTTGCTTTTTAATTACTTTGTCATCAGATGGTTTTGTAGCTTGACATTGTCCCCCCCCCTCCACACACACACACACACTTTGTCCTCTTTCACTTTTAAGTAGCTGTTTCGTTAGACCCATCAAATGTACTCCACATCTGGTGGTAGTCTCATTACAACATGCGGATGGTGAAAGAAGGCAGGCTCTTAAAAGCTTTCCCTTAGCAACATTTACATAGAAGCCAACAGATTCCCTTGTTTTGGATTTACAACCCCAAAATGAATCTGTGCTTTTGCTAAAAGGATTTTAATTTGGAAATTATTCTCTTAAATCTGTGGCAGTGATCAGTGCTGCTCTAGCTGCACGTGAGATTGTAGGCAGAGAGAGGGGTGCTTGTCCTTGGAAAATATTCCTTTCCTCAGCATACTGTCAGATCCAGCTGTTTTCATTTGAAAACTTCAAAAAGCTGGTTTGATTAAATTGTCCCCTTAAAAAACACACTCACTCATTGAATAGTGGCTGAGAACTTTACCCCTTTGGTAAAACAAATAAACCCCACTCCTGCTGGCTTAACCAAGATAAATGTAGGCAAATTTGTGTCTGAACCATATGTACAGTACATAACCTTTGCAGCAGCTTAGCGAGGGACAGTGCACTAGGGAAAATAGACTCAAAATCTTAAGCTATTGAAGCTGTTGAGAAATGTTCTCCCTGATCATCAGCTCCTGCAAAATGAAGAACCTTTTAAATGTTGACCACGTATATTGCTTTGACAGTTATTAGCTCCAGATCATCCTAGTAGACTGGAAACACATGTGGTTTCATGATTTGTTAGTACTGTATTCCAGTGGTGATTTTCTGCAAATAGCCTTATAAATGGCCAGTGCTTTAAACAGGTTGAGTATCAGACTAGGGACACAGAATATAGATAGAAAAGTCCTTTGATGTCCTTCTTACTTAAAGCACAAGCATAACAACATAAGAAAGATTACAAAAAGAGGAATCCATTTGGGTGTCATTTTTGTGGAAGTACACTTTAAATATAGATTGTTGTGGCTCCGAGTATACCATGATAGCTGTTTAACCTCCATTTTCTGCAGAAAGTCCCAGCTGTCTCTGTGTGAGAAGACCTGCACCAATAGGTTTGAACCTTTGAACCATTGAAGTTTCATCAATGCTATGAACTGCTTCTGACAACATCTCCCAGATTGCAGCAATATTTGTTTTACATACACATACTGTACACATTGGGTCACCGTGTCCTTGGCAAAATGCAGCCCCTTCCACAAACTGGTCCTGTGCAAAGTATTTGGTCAGTTAATTGCCTGTCAAGCTTGGAGTTTTCTAGTTAGATCTGACATGTTAAAATCAACAAGAACTAAACAGGAGATGATTGGATGAGACAAGAGATGTATTCAGTTGTAGACTATCACTGCCTGGTTGAAAAGATCTGACTAGGAAGTTTTTCTTGTTGTTTTTTTTTCCCTTGAACCCAATGATTTTTTTTCTGTGACCCCTAACCTCTTAGAAAGACCCATTAAGATTATTTTTTGCCCTGTAGCATCTTAAAATAGGTGTTAGTATACAATGATTCCTGTCATGTATCTCCTTCAAATCATATGCTACAGCTTTCTAAGATCTTCGCTATACTGTGATTAAAACCATTCTCCTACCATAGATTGCCTTGTACAGTGTATATTGCACTGATACCACTTACATTTCATTTAGATGCTTTGGCAAGTCATATATTAATAGTGTAGCCTCCTGTGGGAAGAAATTAAGAGTACTCTAACCTTTCTATGTATTGTATAAGCATTATGACATAAACAGATGGTGTGTGATTAAATCAGGAACTATGGGTGAAAATTATTTATACCTCCAAAGAAATAAATAAAGAGAAATAACTTTGTGACTTTCTACAGACTCTATGCGTCATGCTGTTTGTTTTCATATGAATAATTGTCATAATTGATTTTTTATAGCCCTTTTAAATGGTTTAGTGACCTTATGTAATAATTGTACTAAACTTACATAAATCATATACGTACATAATTTATAGTTTCTGGTTTAGGCTTTTTTATTTAATTTTAACCAGCACGTTTCCCATTAGTCCAGATATACTTTTTTCATGTTTCATACTATCTTCTTTCACATTCTTTCTTGTATCATATACAGTATACCATATATATCAGGGGTGTGTAGTGGTTGTTAATGATAATGTGAAATATTTCAAACATTATAATCTCCAATACATTTGCAGTTATGGAGAAAATTTCCTTAATTTGCTTTCAGAGTGCAGAGTTTCTGTTGTATGTATGTAAGTAAAATTCACTGTCTTTTGTCTAACTGTAGGGCTCTACAGT